CTCCTGCAAGTTGTGGCATTTCCCCAGACAAGCTTTATAAAAAAGCCTTTGCTCTGAGCGTGCCAGGCTGTCTCTCCCACAGAAGTCTGCACAGCATCACCTCTACTCCCACAGAAGGATGTCTGCACCAGGAAGCAGCAAACTGGGATTTGGATGTTTCCTACTTTTATTTTTGTCCTTTTTTTTTTTTTTTTTAAGAGATGGGAAAGAAGATCAGAAGAGAGTCAGGTGTGTGTCCAACAGGGCTGAAATCAGGTTGGATGAAGCTCTGAGCAACCTGATCCAGTGGAGGGTGTCCCTGCCCATGGCAAGGCAGGGGAGCTGGATGATCTTTGAAGTCCCTTGCAACCCAAACCAATTTTGGGATTGTAAGGCTAGAGATGCTGATTTTTCTATGGCAGCACCATGCAGATTTCCAGTCTGGGATGCAGCCAGTCTGGACCACCACGGTTCCAGTTTGCCCAGCACTACAAGTGGAATTACTCCACTTGGAAGAGCAGGAGACTGTCCTTATGCAACTTGTCTTGGTGGCAAAAAAGTCTGGGTGTTATCAAGAAGGACGCAGGGAGTCCTTTGCTGCGCGTGCCATTTGCTGGCAGCCTCATGCACAGGGTTCTGCTGGCTTTGCAAAGTCTTTATGGGTAAAAGAGTGTCCCTGTTCCTCCCTCTGAAACACTCAGGGGTGCAAAGGGTTAACTGTGGGAAGAAGGGTCAAGCAGCAGGGATGTGAGGTGGAGTCTGGGGCGACAGAGACAAGTTCAGGTGTGTGTGGTGGTGTGATGGGTTCCTGGGGGCAGGAAGGGTTGCAGCAGAGGGACTGCAAGGTGGGAGCTGAGTTGTGGTCAGGCTCTCGTGGCACTCAGAGGTAAGGCAGTGATCAGGGGGTGCAGGGGCAAGAGCACACAGAAGATGTGTGGGCATCAGCAGGGCCGTAGGGCAACCCATGATCTATGGACCAGGAGTTTACTTGAAAGCATCTGCCAGCCAGGCCCCAAAACCCCTCCAGACCACCAACCAGGCCAGAGCCTGGGCTGAGCTGAGATTGCAGGGAAAGGGGAGCACAGCCTTGTAAAAGCACAAGATTTTGGGCAATGAGGCAGATGCCTCTTTTTAGGACACGACTGAGAATAACCTGCTCCTGTTTCAGTGTCTGTGTCATGTGGGAGTTGAGATTGGAGGCATCATGCTGAAAACTGGATTGAAAGGAGCTGGATTTTTTGTGCTGGCTTCTGCAGCCTGGAGGGCTCTGGGACTGGTGCCTGTCTCTGGCTGTCACAGTGGTTGTGACACCTCTATTTCCATCTCTATCTCTTCCTGGCGTGGCCAAAGGGAAGTATATGACTGCTCTTCTGGTGCTTGCAGATGCCCAGATCTGTTGAAAGGTCAGGAAAGGGAGCAATTGGCAGCACTGGGGTCACAGAGCTGCCCCATGGCACCCTCTCAGCCACGCCCAAACCTCCCAGGCTGAGGGTGAAGCTGAAAGGGAGTGACATGGGGTCAGTGCTTGCATTTGCAGCCCCACCAACGCAGCCCGTGGTGGTCCCATCAGGTCCACCTGCAGAGCACTAGACCCAGACAGCCACTTCAGAGTGAGAAGAGCAGCTTGTTCCCAGCCAGCATATCCTTGACAGGTCCATCCATCATCTCCCGAGCTCTGCCAGCTTATTAGCAGATGTTGTCCCGTCCCCAGAGGATGGAGAAGGAGGGAAACAAATGGACCGAACTCCAGATGGTGAGCAGATCCCTCCCCACGCTCACTGTTCCTGAGACAAACCTGCTGCTCCCTTGGGCACACGACATGTGAGAGTCAGGCTGGTGGGCAGGGAAAACAGGCAAGATGAGCTGTGCAGGGTGTGGGGATCAGTGGAAACCCCACGGAATTGAACCAAACAGGTTTGGGGTTGATCACTGGGGACTCACCTGTGCAATACAGGGCTAGAGATGTGCTCTGCCAAGCGGGGGTTTAGTGTTGGGATTTGTAGGCTTTGCTGGTGATACTGGGACCAGCCAGGTCTGCACAGGCTGCAAGCCCAGTTAGGTGTGCAAGTCTTGAGCTGAGTGGCAGGTGAAGGGCTGCTCCTGTCCCACTTGCACTGCAAAACCACACCATGAGATGAAACTGCAGGGACAGGCATCCTGGGCTGGGCACTAGGGGGGAATAATGGCACTGGGGACAGGAGGACACCAGCAACAGGACTTCTGGGAGTTCACAAAGAGACAGGACATGAGATCCTCAGACACAGAGCAAGGGTATCAACTGAATAAAATAATGGGAAGAAAAGAAAACCCCACCTTCTGCAGGGCTCCTGGGAGGGCACTTCTGGCAGGTGGCAGCAGTTGGCTGCAGTGAAGACAGCAGCACAACCTCACTGGTGGGAGGCTTCAGATTTGAGAGGCTTCTGTGTGTGCTGCCACAGCCACGGCTATGGAGACCAGTGGATTTTATGCCTGGTGCATTGATTGAATTGTTCCTGCTGGCCACTTCTCTGCTGTTTGCTCTTCCCAGAGCTAACCCAGGAGGTCCTGGTCCTCCACACATCACTGGCCTGGCATGAGAGAGCTCAATCCAGAGCAGGACATGCCTGGCATCCTGTACTGTAGGGATTTCATGTCTTGTGCAGGTTCAAGCTAGTGCCCTCTCCTGTTCCTGTGAAAGGCTTTGCACATGTGTTCTGCTTCCCTCTAAAGCACTGAGATACCCAGAGGTGCACGACCCGCCTGAGCAGTGCCTGCCCCAGCCCCAGGTGCTCTCCAGTCCTCCTCGTGTGCTCATGCTGTCCCTGTGCCAGGAGATGGCTCTGCCCTGGCACACAAATTCACCTGCAATTTGTCATTTAGTATAATTTTCCCCTTGAGTGCATCTAAAATAATTGTGACTCATTGCTACAGGTAATTAATGGTTTTTTTACAGCATTAAATGCTAAGTGATTACAATTGCTCCGTGCAAATCTGCTGCACTTCGTGTTCCCATCCTTCCTGCTGCCTGTGTCTCTGTACCCGAGGCAGCACTGATTTCTCTGCCCTTAGTTAAATATTGGTGGAAGGGAACCACTCCAGTTCCTCTGGAATCACAAGTCCCTGGTTGCTGCATGGTTAGAGATGGTGGTGGTTTGCAGGTCCAAGGGAGATTCACACAAGTTGAGGGCAGCAGTTCCTGACCTGCATCTGCCCCATTGCTCAGCTCCCATCTGTGCTCATTCTGTGTCTTCATCCTTTCCCACATGGAAAAACTGGGAGATTTTCTTTCTTACAGATTTATTTAATTCACAGAGATTTTGTTTTGTTTTGTTTTGTTTTCCACCAGCTGGCTACCTCCCAAATTTGTCACCACCTGAGAACAGGGTGTATCAACACTCATCTCAGTCTTATACCCAGAACCAAAGGGCTGCAAACCAGAGGGTGATGCAGCATCAGAGGACTCTTGGTAAGGGTAGAGAGTCCTTGAATCTCTTGGCATGTGGCATGACCAGTCAGCACAGGAGCCTGGCAAATGTCCTGGGCTGTCCCTGGTGTGACTGGCAAGGGACAGCAAACCTCTCCCCAGATCTGCATCCCCTGGGTTCTCTCCTCTTCTGATGCCCTTGAGGAGGTGAAAAGTGCCAGGAAAACACCTGGGGAACAAAGCCACCCCCAAGCTGCTGCAATTTCACAACTGCCTTCCCTTGCATCCCGAAGTTCAGGTATTTCTGCTCCTTGCTCTGATGGCCTTTGGGGAGTGGAGGAGCAGGAGTTCAGGAGCAAACTCTGGAACTGGTGGCCTTTGCTGTAGCAGGATGTGACACCAACCTGCAATACCACCTCTGGCACTTGCAGCACTGCTGGTATCACTCCCCTGCTGTTAAAGGAGCACTTGGTGCCAAAGTGCCACAGAAACTGGTGACAGAGTCTGAAGAAGGACCAGCAAGAGGTCCCCACGCCAGGGATGTGTGTGGCTGGAGCACTGCCTTCAGCTGCCATTGCTAAAGTAGCTCAGTTATAAAAGGGCTCCTGTATTACTGTGCAGTGTGTGATGGGTGGGATATGCTGGTCTGCCTGCCACAGGGAGATCTGTGGCAAGGAAAGGAGCGTTATCAAAAAGAAAATGAATCAGCAAGGAACAAAACAAACAGCATGGAGGGACCCAGCCTCCCTGAGGAGGTGGATCACAAACAAAACCCTTCTAGATGCTTGGAAGCAAAAACTGAGGCTGTATGCAGATCTGGACACTGGATATAAAGACAGGAAAATGAAGATATTACTACCTCAGTGGGGAAAGTAGAGATGAGTCAGAGCCAGGAATAATCCTTGAATCATTGTAACTGGTCCTAAAAGTACTTCGTGAGTACTGGGACTCAGACAGAGCCTGCTTTTCCTTATTTGGAATCTAAACCGGCAAGAGAGGGCAGATCCTTCCGCCCCCAGATACCTGACATGCCACATGTCACTCTTGAACGAATCGATTTTCCTAACGAGAGACGAGCTGTTTGTTTGTGTGACAAATGATGCACCCGAGGGGCTGCTGGGAAAGGGGGGGTGGGATGGAGCGGAGCCTCGGCGTGGGACGAGCTCCTGCATCAGGAGGCGGCAGAGAACCTGCAGGCAGGTTGGGTTGTCGGAGGAAAAAAAAACTCATTTTTTTTCAAGGCTGTCTCGTTTGTCCTCACTGTCCCTCCGCAGAGAGTGGGCCAGACGGTGGCTGCACCGGGGAGAGCTTCGGACAGCAGGCACAGGCACAAAGGAAACTCCTGGAGCTTTGCAGGCAGCTCGGGAGCGGCAGAGACACCCGAGTTTGCTTGTGGAGCGGTGGGGAACGGGTGCCAGGATGGCAGTAGGTGCAGTCCGGGGGCCAAAAGTTTTCACAGAGCCCAATGTGCAGCCGGACAGCAGGAGGGGACTCGGGCAGGCGCTTGGGGAGAAGGGCCGGTTTCCCACGCACCAGGTGAGAGCGCGGTCCAGCTTTGTGCTGGTGGGATCCCCTCATCCAGGCGCATCCCTCTGAACCTCTGCCCTTCCCCCTGCAGCCTGCCAGCTGGGATTTTACAAGTCGGCCCCTGGGGACCAGCTGTGTGCCAAGTGCCCCTTGCACAGCCACTCGGAGAGCCGGGCAGCCCGGGTGTGCCGCTGCGACAGCAGCTTCTACCGGGCGGTGCAGGACCCGCCCTCGGCCGCCTGCACACGTGAGTAACCCCCGAGGACCCCCTGCCCCGTCTGCCCTGGTGGCCACCGACGCTGCAGAGGGACAGGCGGCACGTCCTGGGGCACAACAGCTGCTCCCTGGCTGAGCCTGGCTCACTCCTGCCCCTGTGCACGCTGCCCAAGGAGCTCTAGAGCCTTACAACCCTGAGTCTCTGTTCAGGCAGGAGCTTCCTCACTGCCTCTGTGTCGTCCTCATCCTCCTCCTGTGTCATCCTGCTCTCCAAACATCCCTGGCCAGAGTCTTGGAATCAGAGAATCATTAAGGTTGGAGAAGCCCCTAAAATCAGGTCCATCCGTCAGCCCAGCGCCACCACCACGTTCACCACTAAACCATGGCCCCAAGTGCCATATCCACAGGTTTTTTGAACGCTTCCAGGGATCGTGACTTCACCACTGCCCTGCATAGTCTGTTCCAATGTCTGACCACCCTCTCTGGGAAGAAATTTTCTCTTAACACCCAATCTAACCCACCCCTGGCAAAACTTGAGGCTGTTTCCTCTGGTCCTGTCACTTATTCCCTGGGAGAAGAGACCAGCACACCCCTACCCTCTCCTCCCCCTCCAGCTCCAGCCTTTGCAGCTTTCCTTTGCAGAAGTGCACCGAATGGTCACACACCCCTGAGCAGCCACTGGGGCAGCTCAAGTGTTGCTGTGCTCTCCTTCTCTGTGGATGTGGCACTAGGGCTTGTTTTAAGGCCTTAGCTTAGCTCTTTGCAGTTGGCTGCTTTGAGGGACCCACTGCTATTAAAAGGGGACAAGGACATCCCAGGAGTCCTCCTTTCTGTAGTTGGTCCAGAAGGACAGAAAGGCGTGAGGCTGATGGTTGAGGTCAGGGTGAAAGACAGGTCAACAACATCCAACTTGTGTCTCCCTAGGGGATATCCACCCAAGTTTATTAATCTTTCCAGGAAATGTGAGTTTTCCCTTCCCTTTAGATGAGCATATCCAGCTCATCAACACCTTGGCTCTTCCTCCAAAAGCTTCCTGCATCACCGCTGCTTCCTGCTTCCCCCAGAACAGACACCCTCTCTTGCTGTCTGGCATTTGGCATCCTGAGCCATGGCACTTCACCCTTAGCCCTGTCTGTGTCTTCGCTGTCTTGTGTTCGGAGCATTCCTCTCCCTGGGCAGTCCTGTGTTCCCTGCAGCACCGTTTGTACGCTCAGGCACAAACCCAAAATGCCCAAGGCGCGTCTCTCCGTCGGTCCCACGCTCCACCATTCCCAGCACCCCAGCACCCCCTGCTCTGCCTGAACCTCCTCTTCTCTCCCAGGCCCTCCCTCCGCTCCTGTGAACCTGATCTCCAGCGTGAACGGCACCTCGGTGACCCTGGAGTGGGGCCCCCCCCTGGACAAGGGGGGCCGTGCCGACGTGGTGTACAACGTGCTGTGCCGGCGCTGCGCGGGGGACGCGGGGCCGTGCGAGGCCTGTGGCAGCGGCATCCGCTTCGTGCCCCAGCAGATGAGCCTGGTGCAGGGAGCACTGACTGTCACCAACCTCCTGGCACACACCAACTACTCCTTCTGGGTGGAGGCCGTGAACGGCGTCTCCGACCTCAGCCTGGAGTCCAGGAGAGCCGCAGTCGCCAACATCACGACAAACCAGGCAGGTAGGAGGAGCAGACACCCCCCATCTCCAGCCTTTGCCTGTGTGGGTGATGCTGACGTTGCTCTGATGTCTGCATGGGCCAGAACTTGCTCTAACAGCAAAGGGCTGGTTTGGTGATGGGCTTGGAACCCCCGGGAGATGTGACCCCTGTCCTCTCTGCTGCTGGAGGAGGGTTCAGGGAGCTGAGGTGGGACAAGCTGCTGCCCGGGGCACCTCTTACCCTTCTCTGGTTCGTGGTGTCCTTTTTCCTCCCCCTCCCCTTCCAGCTGCTGTTGGAGGCTCCTTTTCTGCAGGAGACAGGGGCACAGAGAACGCTTTTTTATTGGCAGGAACACTAAGTGGAGCATGAATCTTTAAGGCTGTTCCTCCAACCTTCTGTCCCTTCCCAAAGGGCTGGGCAGCAGTTCGTGCTCTGCTCTTAGCTCACACCAATGCCAGGCCCTGGCAGGTGACAGCAATGTTTGCTTAGAAAAGTGTCTCCTATGCATGTCTCACCTCTGCAAATCCCCTGCTGCAAAATGCTATTTCCCCAGAAAATTCCTCTGAGCAGTGCTCTAGCCCAGGTGGGACAGGGCTTTGCTCCAGGGTCACCTGGGCATCTCCCAGAGCCCTTTTCCATGGAGCACACTGTGGGCAGAGAGATGAGGGCAGGGAGTGACATTCCTTGTTAATCCTCCCAGTTTGAAATGAGCCCACAAGAACTTCCTGTGATGCTGAACCCCTTCTGCTCTCGTGGCAGGGGTGTCAGTGGGAGAAACTTGGGGAGCTTCACTGCAATAGCTCATGACTGGGATGAGAACAGGCCCTTTTGTCACTAATGCCAGGCTGTGGCACTTGTGCAGCACGTGGAATTGGCTCAGTCCTGCTGGCTTGATCCCTCCCAATCCCTCCAAGTGGTGATGAGCTGCCTCAGCCTGATGCCTCTGAGGGAGATGCTGTCAGGAAGTGCTGAATATTCCCATTTCAACCTCCCTGCTGCAAAGTGCTGCAGGTGATGTGAAACCAGCAGGATTGGGAATTTGGTAGTTTGTCTGCCGTGCTGGGCAGTGCTCCAGCTGCTGCCCATGGCAGAGCACCCCTGTGTTCCAGGGTGGCTGAGGAACCCCTGATGCACTGCACGGGGGTGCTGCCCCTGCTGGGTGCTGGTCACCCTTATCCTCCAGCCCCATGGCTGAGCAAGGCTGAGGCAGATGCAGCACAGATGCCCCGGGGCTGTTTGGAGCATTGCATGTGCCCATGGAGTTAAACTAATTCCCACCATCCCACCCTGTCCCATCTGCCCAGGGTGCTGTGCACCAACAGCCTTTTCTGCTTCTCAGAGGAGGCAGAACTGAGCTAAAACTGCTGCTTTTCAGTCCCTGGGTACCCCACTGCTGCTGCAGCCCCTGTGGCCTCTTTTAGTCTCTGTGCTGCTCCAGTGACACCCCTGTACTGCAGCCACAGCCACAACAGTTCTGTCTTCCCTAGAGCTGCCACATCCCATTTCCCCCCATCAGTTCAACACACAAAAGGTGCCTCAACCCTTCCAGTGAGTTGGACCCAATGGCTGCACCTGGCCATCACAGCAGCCACTGCACTCTCTGGGGAACTTCCAGTGGGAAATTTTCCAGTGGGAAAAGAGGCTGGTGAGTTGGTTCGTCCAGCTGTGACAGCTCCAGCTGGGGCATGGCAGGTTCAAGAACTGATTCACAGGCTCCCAGCTCAGGCCTGGGAAGGTGACAAGTGTCCCAGGGCAGAAAAGCACACCCAGGACACCTTTAGGCTCATGCTTAGACCCTGACCACCCCTCTGGGCATTTATCATCTCCCCATTCTCTCTTCCCCATCCCTCTCCTGTTACCCCATGTGGGACAAGAGGGGTCAGGGTCCTGGTAGAGACCTCCATGATCTCCACCCTCACTGCCCCTTCTCCTTTCTGGCTCCAGATCACAACAAAGCACCAGTGTCCCCTCCTGCCTGTGCTGGGACAGTGCCCTCCTCTCATCTCCTCAGAGCTCCTTACTCCATGGGAAAGAGATCAAGGCAGCTGAAGCAAGGAAAAGCCTGTTTTCAGCTCCCATCACAGCACTTGTCTCCACATGGCTTTAATTAAACCAGACACCTGGTTCAAACCAGGGGTCCTGCCTGGGGCTCCAGTTCCACCCTTCCCTGCTGCTGTCTCCTTCTGTCCCACCCCTCCACAGTACCCCCTCAGCAGACACCTAACGTGCTGTGTCTGCATCCCCAGCCCCGTCGCAGGTGGTGGTGGTGCATCAGGAGAGCACGGGCCAGAACAGTGTCACCTTGCTGTGGCAAGAGCCAGACCAGCCCAACGGCATCATCCTGGAGTACGAGATCAAGTACTACGAGAAGGTAACGCCGAGCCTGCCGCTGCAGACCAGTCCCTGCCACCCGCCAGCCTCGCACAAGAGGCTTCTTTGGAAGGCTTTGTGGTCGCTTGTGCTGGTGCAGCGAGGTTTTTGGCGTTGCTTTTTTTCCCCCAGGACAAGGAAATGCAGAGCTATTCGACTCTGAAATCCAAGAGCACCACTGCCACCATCTCTGGGCTCAAGCCTGCAACCCGCTACATCTTCCAGGTCCGGGCTCGCACCTCGGCCGGCTGCGGGAGGTTCAGTCAGACTGTGGAGGTGGAAACAGGGAAGCCAGGTGAGTGTGTGCAGTTTTGGCGTGTGGGAAGTGTGGGGCAGGGAGCATGGAGGATGGTGATGCCCTTCTCCATGACCACTGTTCCTCTGTCACACCAGCAGGGAGCCTGGAGGCACTTCAGCCTGAAGGGATTGCTTGAGGTTGCCCTCCTCAGGTACTTAGGGCAAGAGGAAACAGTGTCAAGTTGCAGCAGGGGAGGTTTGGATTGTATATTAGGAAACATTTCTTCACTGAAAGGGTGGTCAGCCACTGGAACAGACTGCCCAGGGCACTGGTGGAGTCACCATGCCTTGGAAGTGTTTAAAAGGCATGTGGATGTGGCACCTGGGGACAACAAGGTTTAGTGATGGGCTTGACAGTGCTGGGTTAATGGTTGGACTTGGTGATCTTAGAGGTCATTTCCAAACTCAAGGATTCTGTGATTCTGTGCTTATACACTAGAAAGAAGAGGGAGGAAGAAGATAGCAGTTAGGGCAGGGAAAACCTGGAGAGGTCCTGGGGCATCGAGCTCCTCTCTGTGCTGATTTGCTGTGTCACCATGGCTTTCTTAGATCTCTGCTTAGTTTCCCCGTGTGTAAATGGTCCCCATATGCTGAGAGAGACCGAAAGCTGGGAATGGATAGGGATAGTGTTTTATCTTTGAAGACCATGACCCCATTGTGGTAGGTACCTTTCTGAGCTCAGCAGAGCATTCCCTACCCCAGCTCACCTCCTTCCTACCCTGCTTCTCCCAGTGTCCCTCCGCTACGACACGATGACGATTGTCTGGATCTGCCTGACGCTCATCACTGGCCTCGTCGCCTTGCTGGTGGTCCTGATCTGCAAGAAGAGGTAAAAGTTTTCTGGAGGCCAGAGAGGGACAGGAGGGATGAGAGAACTTGAGCACAACTTTTCTCCTTTCGGTTTGTGCAGAGCATCCACAGGTCACGGGTTAATAAGCAGCCAAGAGACTTCATTTAGGGGTCACTGCTTTCCCTGCGGCACAGCCAGTATCCAGATCTTTCTCTAATGCCAGCAGGCAGAATAGCAATAAATTAGTATATATACACTATAATATATATAATATATGGATTATCAGTGGCACTAGCAATAACAATACCAGTACCAGTACTACCACCAGTACAAGGGCTGACTGGATGGGCTGGAGGTAGGTCAGGAGGGGAGAGAGCTTTTTGCCATCAGACAGATCTAAGGAATTCTGTGCTACATGGCTGAGCCAGGCATGTGGAGCCCAGGCATACAGCCCAAAAGGACTGCAGCTTTAAGCACTGCCAAGCCTTGGAGAGCACCTGGAAAGTACCTCAATCCAGGCCAAAGTGTCAGTCCAGCAAGACACAGGGATGCAGCTCCTCCTGGGCTGCCCACAGCCCTGGCATGCGCTGCCTTTCACCCTGCCTTTGGGATGCCTGGGGGAGTGAGGGACAGGGGCATCTCTTCTGACCCTTGTCCCCACCCTGTGGCAGGCACTGCGGGTACAGCAAGGCTTTCCAGGACTCTGATGAGGAGAAGATGCATTATCAGAATGGGCAAGGTAGGACTCTCCTTGTGAAGAACTCCAGCCTTGTGGGTGGGCACAGAGGTGGGCTGTTACCCCCTGATATTGCTGTGGTTTCCAGGGGGAAGGGTTTTGACTCCTGCCTGCTTCTGTGAACATGTCTTAGGAGAACTGAGAGGGGCTCTGATTTCAGGGGCGTCCTGGTAATGGGGTTGAAGGGTTGAACAATGTGCCATCAGACTGAAGCAGGATCATCCCAGACAGCAGGGATGGGGGTGGGGGGGGTGATGGAGAGGGACAGTCACATGGAGAACACTTGGGAAGCCAGGTCCTGGGCTGCTCTGAGGAGACTGCTATGCCAAAGAGTGACTTAGGATTCCTTGGGCTGCACCCCTGTGACCCCTCAGCCTGTTGGCCCTTGAAATCCTGCCCCTGCCCATCACCTCTCCTTCCCGTGGGGCTGCCTGAGAGAGCTGTTCTCCTCTCTCCCCTTTGAAACCTGGCAGTGAAGTTCCCTGAGTCCAAGTTCTACGTGGATCCCCATGCCTACGAAGACCCCTGCCAGGCCGTGCATGAGTTCACCCGTGAAATAGAGGCCTCCCGGATCAAGATCGAGAAGGTCATTGGGTCTGGTGAGTCCCGGGGCCCAGCTGCCTCTTTGCATCACGTTGTGCCGTGTCCATGGCCCTGCTGGGACCACAGCAGTGCTCAGCTAGGGGGCTTCATCTGCTCCTTACCCTTGTGATATCCAAACCATGGGTAGAGTGGGGGTTTTTGGTGCGTGAAATGAACCCACTGGAAGCAGCCTGGTGCCAGGGGGGCTACTTGTCAGCAGGTGTGGCACCGACAGCTCAGGCTGACACAGCAGATGGTTCAGCCTGGCCCATGTGGGTGCTCCAACGTGCCACCCTGCTTTGAAACCTGGGGTGACAAGATGCAAACGAAACTGTAAGTGAAATGGTGAATTTTCAGAACAAAAGGGAGTTTTGTGTAGGAACAGGGCTTGCAGGGAAGCATGGGGCAGAGATGGAGCTGGAACTTCACTAGCAGCACCCCAAGGACTTAACCCAGAGCAGCATGAGGAAGCCTGGGTGGGGGTCATCCTTGCTGCTCTGAGACTCCCACCTTTGTTCATTAAAAGCAGTAAAGCAAGTGCTACTGTAATCACTGCTCTTGGCCCCTTTAGGAAAAGGCAGCAGACAGAGGTGATTTCTGATGTTCCCACCCTTCCAGCATTGGGCAATTCTTTCAGAGGACTGAATCCTGGAGGGTTTGGAGGGGATTGAAATCCACAGTGAAATCCAGAGGGGCTGTGAGTGTGCTGGTAGACTGGATGATTCATGGTGTTGGTAAGTGAGTGTGAGAAGCTGAGGAGCTCTCCGTGCCCTCACCTTCCCTTGTCTTGCAGGGGAGTCTGGAGAGGTGTGCTATGGCCGCCTGAAGCTGCCAGGGAAGAGGGAGATTCCCGTGGCCATCAAGGCACTAAAGGCAGGCTACACAGAGAAGCAGAGACGGGACTTCCTGAGCGAGGCCAGCATCATGGCACAGTTCGACCACCCCAACGTCATCCACCTGGAAGGGGTGGTGACCAGGAGTAGGTGGCTGGAAGGGATGGTGGGGCAGAGCTGGGATGTATCTCCCTGTGGGCAACCTGAGGGATGTGGGTCAGGGCTCACTTTAGGTGCACTCCATCCCTCAGCTGCCCCAGTGGCTTTTTGGATATCCATTTACCTGAGATGCCCTCCACCCCGCCCCTGTGCCATCTCTTACAGGACAAACTTCCCAGTGGTGGTTCCACACCTCTCTCCTCAGTGTGCTCCAGGTCAGGGTTATTGGTTTGGGAGATGTCCTACTCAATATTTATTTTAAAGGCTGCCTGTATTGAATCATAATTTGAAAGTCCTCCTTCAACAAGACCCATTCTAATGCAAAGCGTTATGCTAATGGCATGCAAATTTCAGCAGGATAACAAAGCTGACCTATCCACATCAGTAGCACCTGGAGGGAGGGGGTACCTGACTGGGTTACTGCCACATCCCCACTGTTTTGCCAGTGGTGCCCAATGCAGGGGTGAGACCACTCTGAGGGGCTGCATGAGACCCACAGGCCTGGATTCACATCTCTCCCAGTAAAAACTTGTCACTTGGCTTCCCAGAGGAAGGTGACTTCTCTGCTAACTTGACCTCCCTTGTCTTCTGCAGGCAAATTGGTAATGATTGTTACTGAATACATGGAGAACGGCTCGCTAGACACCTTCCTCAGGGTAAGGAGCAAGGCTGTGTTTTTATTCACTGCACATCCCCCTGGGCTGAGCGGCTGGAGGAAAGGCTGGTTCCTTGTCCTCGGCCTCACAGCCACTGCAAGCCCTGTGGGAGAGCTGTGTGTGCTGGGCTCTCACCTCTCCAGCAGACGCAGGCTCCAGGCATCACGTCTGGCTCCCTGGAGTGGCACTGGAAAGGCAGGGACAACTGCCTGAGCACATGTCGGAGGCACTGAGAGGGCAGAAAATGGGCAGGGGACAGGTGGGAGGTGCTGGGCTCAGAGGAGGTACTAAGCCAAAGATGAGAGGCACTGGGGGGGCTGGTTTAATGACAGCAGCAGCAACAGGGTGCCGGCGAAAACCACAAATGACACTGGGTTGTTTTTTTTTTTCCTTTCCAGAAACACGACGGGCAGTTCACCATCATCCAGCTGGTGGGGATGTTGCGTGGCATCGGAGCGGGCATGAGGTACCTGTCGGACTTGGGCTACGTGCACCGGGACCTGGCTGCCCGGAACATCCTGGTCAACAGCAACCTGGTCTGCAAAGTGTCCGACTTCGGCCTCTCCCGCATCCTGGAGGACGACCCCGACGCTGCCTACACCACCACGGTGGGTGGCTCCCTGTGTTGGTCCTTGCTGGCTGTTATTGCCCTGACAGATGGAAAAGTTAGAGACTCTCAGGTCAAAATAGGAAGGGCAGAAATGGCAGTGTCACCTCTGTGCTGACGTTTGGGCCAAAGAGCTCAAACTCAACTCAGCTCGAACGCAAAGAGCTTCGGAGCCTTAATGCATTGTCCTTCACACAGGGACATCCCAGAATGAGTGTGCAGGGAACAGAGAAGCAGGATGTGAGGGCAGGGATTTGATAAACATCCCTGACCAACTGCTCCTGTGGGCACATGTGGCCTACATGTCCCTGTTGGAGTCCTTCCCAAGACTGTGCAGCTCCATCCACTCCTCAGCTATCCTAGAGCCATTGCTCCATAGGTTAATGTCCTGGTCCACTCTTCAGTATTGTGGCCACACACTAGTTTTAACATGTGACTCTGCCTCATTCATGGATGTGGGAAAAGTGGGAATTGGTTTTGCAACCTGTGATTTTATATAGGACACTTGTGTCTGTGAAGCCATTTTGAGATTTTTCTGACCCACCCGACAGCTCTGGAGCCAGATGTGCTCCTCCATGGGAGGTCAATGGAAGCAAAATCAAATACATTTTCATGAAATACATAAATTGCATTAAATAGAAAGAGCTCTTTTTACTCTTCTTTGGCCATGAAAAGAATTAGTGTGCTCCCCTGGCACACCTCTGGTGGATGACATACCATTCCTGCCCCACGTGCTCTGGGAACCACCCAGTGTTCCCTACTCCACAACTTTCCTCTTCTGGTGACTGGTAACCACATTTCCAGCTTAAGTGTATTCTTAGTCCATATATTGCTGATTTTTGTCAGCATTGTCCTTCAGCTCAACATGCCATCCTCTTCAGTGCTTGCCTGCCAAAGCAAGGAGGAACAGGGAGCACATTCCATCCCTTTCCTTCTCTGCTCAAGTCAGGCTCTCTGCCCACACCCAACGTCAGATCCGTGCTTGCACGCTCTGGTAGCCCTGGGGTCCACTTCATCACTCTGAATTCCTATAACTTGAGCACTGAGTGCAGGAAGACTTTGTAAAATAGGTACAGGTGTTCTCCTCGCTCTACTGGAAACACCTTGAAGTCATCCTTCACTTACACTTCTAGGCTTCTCTCGTGTGGGTTGTCCTTCTCAGTCCTTTCCGGAAGACACCGCCCCAGCTTTTTGCTTGTCCTGGATGCAGAGGTCGGGACGCTGAGCACTGCCTGCTCTGAGCCTCCACCGTTGCTTGGTTTTCCAGGGGGGGAAGATCCCCATCCGCTGGACGGCTCCGGAGGCCATCGCGTACCGCAAGTTCTCCTCGGCCAGCGACGTGTGGAGCTACGGCATCGTCATGTGGGAGGTGCTGGCCTACGGCGAGCGGCCCTACTGGAACATGACCAACCGGGACGTGAGTGGGCGCAGGGCGGCGCGGGGACCAGCCTGCCCCTCCTCCGGCCCTGCCCCGGGCCAGCCCAGCACGGGGCTGGGCAAAAGGGGCCCAAAGGTCAGCTCTTGCCTCTCCTGACGTCCCTGCAGGGCTGTGCACAGTGTGCTTGTCCCCTCGGTGGGGACGTCAGAGCGCTGTCCCTCCCTGCAGCCCCGTGGCTCCTGGCTGCTGTTGGCAAGGTGACCCCCAGTGACCAAACCTGCATGCTGGCCCTTTCCAATCCTGCCCATTGCCTGGGGACACTGACTCAAGCCCCTGGTGTGAATGCAGCAGGGGGGTTCCTGCCATCCTGGCTGTGTGCACCATGGGTGTCCCCAGCCCTGCCTGCTGCTCTGGACGAGCCTTTTATGCTGGCTGGAGAGATTCAGCGCATGTCGTGCCAAGTTTCCCAGTCCCTGGAAGGAGTCAGGGCCTCCCTGGGATCACTGCAGTCCCACTGCATGATCCTGCCAGTCCCGGTGCCGAGGGTCCATCCCTTCCACTGCCCAGGTGAGGCTGCTGAGAGCCTCAGGCTGGCACCACCCAGCTGTAGGTTTTGGGCTTGTCTGAGTTATGGGAGGCCACTCTCACCTCAAGAGTAGCATAAAATCTGTTATAATCTAAGTTATAATCCTGAGTACAACCTGGGCTCAAAATTTCCAAAAGGAGGCAATAAAACAAGCATTTTGACTCTGAAGAACCACAGGACTCCTTTTTTTTTTTTTTTTTTTTTTACCTGTGGGGACTGTAAGCTTCTCCCTGCTTTGGGAGTCCTGAGAGCCCCCGCTTTTCCTAGTGTTTTTATTATTTTAAAAGTGGCTTTGGTGACAGCAGGGCATGAATGCAGTGGCTTACACTACCTCCTCCACACAATTCCTTCAAACAGGGTTTCTTCCAGCCTTGCTGAAGAGTGGCTGTAGAACGACCAAGTGTGAGTCCAGCCCTTGTGGCTTGTCTGCTGGAGGGAAGCTGCAATATTTTAGGCCACTGGACCTCTAAATAGCTCTGCTGTCATAGCAGTGATTTCCTGCACAGAACAATTCCCTGTCGTTGAGCATGAAGCTTTAGCTCTGCTCCCTGTGTGACGGCCCCAGCAGCTCAGGCATCAGGGGTCTTCCCATCTGGGGGGGCTGGGAGCGGGGTGGGGGTGCAGCTCCACTGCGGTTTGTGTGGCTTCCTTGCAGGTCATTAACTCTGTGGAGGAAGGCTACCGCCTGCCTGCCCCCATGGGCTGCCCCACCACCCTGCATCAGCTCATGCTGGACTGCTGGCAGAAGGACCGCGGCGAGAGGCCGCGCTTCTCCCAGATCGTCTGCATCCTGGACAAGCTGATCCGCAACCCCGACAACCTCAAGTGCACGGCCACCGTCAACAGGTGAGGGCAGAGCATGTGTGTGGTGGGGATAAGGGATATTTCAGCTCAGCTCTAGCACTAATGGCTTCCCTCGAGACCATGGGCACAGGTTGTGGTGGGCAGTGGGAAGCTTCCTGCACTTCACTGCCTTGCTCCCAGCTGTGGCATCCCCATGCCGAGGTCAAGTATGTGCAGCAGTGCCCATGCTCTGCCCTTAGCAGCCTGCGAGGGCTCTCTCTGTCCTGCCCTGCAGGATGTGTGCCCAGCTGGCCAAGAAGGCCAGTGGCACCTGGCTTGTACTAGCCATAGTGTGGCCAGGAGACCAAGGCAGTGACTGTCCCCCCATGCTGGGCACTAATGAGGCACCTCAAATCCCAGGGGCAGTTTTGGGCCCCTCGTGACAAGACAGACACTGAAGGGATGGAGCATGTCAAGAGGAGGGTAAGGGAGCTGGGAAGGGGCCTGAAGAGTCAGTCATGTGAGGAGTGGCTGAGGGAGCTGGGGGGGCTCAGCCTGAAGGAAAGGAGGCTCAGGAGGGACCTTCTCGCTTTCTCCAACTCCTTGACAGGAGAGTGGAGCCAGGTGGGAGTCAGGCTCTTTTCCCAGGGAACAAGTGACAGGTCAAGAGGAAACAGCCTCAGGTTGTGTCAGGGGAGGTTTGTATTGGATATTGAGGAGAATTCCTTCATGGAAAGGGTGGTCAGGCACTGGCACAGGCTGCCCAGGCCAGTGGTAGAGTCACCATCTCTGGAGGGACTTAAAAGATGTGTGGATGTGGCCCTTGGGTCCATGGTTTAGTGGTAAAGATGGCAGTGCTGAGTTAATGGTTGGACTACACGATCTTAGAGGGCTTTTCCAGTCTTAGTGATTCTTCAGGTGCATTCAGTTGGACCTCACAGCCTGGTCAGTTCAGACCAACACCTCCTGCTCTAACCCCTTCTGTCCTGCTCCCAGGTTCACCCAAACACACTCGGACAGGGGTCTCCTCGACCTGACCAGCTGCTTGACTGTGGAGGACTGGCTGGACTCCATCCGGCTGGGGCACTACCGGGACAACTTTGCCATGGCCGGGTACTCCTCCCTGGGCATGGTGATGCGCATGAACATCGAGTGAGTGCCAGAGAGCAAACAGCACTGGTTGAGTGTCCCTGCACTGACCCACTAGCCCCAAACAGTGACCGTTCTGCCTTGGCTGGCTTGCTCTGGTTGGTCCCTGGTGCCTCACCACATCCCTATGGAAATGGTGTTGAGACCTGGGACAATGTCCAAGGCCATGCTGAGCTTCGAGAGAAGGTGTGGGAGTTGCACTGAGAGGGTGTGAGCACCAAGTCACCTCCTGTGGCTCTCCAATGTCACCAGAGGCCCGTAGGTAATTTGGGTGCTTCGGGAGGTCGCTCAACCCAACCTCCTGGTCACAGCAGGGACAGGCAGGAGGTTGCTGACTCCTTGTGCTTCTCACCTTCAATTCCCCTGCAAAAGGCATTTCTGGACCAGAGCGTGGCTGTGCCATAGTACACAGCTTCTCTGGGATCACCAGGAAACAGATGGAGCTGGGAGTTACCTTGGAGCTTTTTGAGACCCCCCTGCACAGGACTGGCTCCCTGCAGGGTGCAGCCAGGCAGGGAGGCACCGTCCAGGCCTCAGGGGAAGTGGAAGGTCTTTGACACATGACCAAGGCTGGGTTAAGGAAGGAGGGCAGGCGAAGATGTGTCTCACTATCCTCCTCCTCCTGCTGTAAGGAGCTTGATCTCCCACCTGTCTGGGGAGTTTCCAGGATGGAACATCCAAGTAGTATCAGAAAAGAAGGCAACTATACCTGCTCCTACCCTAGCCTTACATCCCCCATCCCTTGCTGTTACCATTAGTAACAGGCAACAACCTCTTCTGCCTCTAAGGAGACTTGTTCCCTGTCAAAAGGCTTGGAGCTGGTGGATGGTGGTCCCTGGGGCTCAGGAAAGACGTGCCAGTGCACACCTTGGTCGAGGTGTGGCAGGTGGAGAAGGAGGCAAGGAAAGGGAAGACAGACAGAGGGACTGTCGTGTGCATCAATTGGGGGCTGTACACAGGGCCTTTGCTGTGGGATTGAGCTGATAGTGATCCTTGTTTCTCATGCACATCAGGGAAGCTTTTGAGTGTGGAAGGCTCATCATTCATCCGTCTTTCTGACTGGGTTATCTGAGGGCATCTCACTAAAACTGAATCCAATTTCAGAGCATCGATCTTGTCACCTACCAGCCTGTCAGGAGTGATCCCCCTCCTGCTCCTGCTCCCCCCAGGGCTGTCACAGTGGCCCTGTCAGGAGGAGGCACCCGAGGGAATGGCAACCTCTCTGTCTGGGAGGATACCCATGGACCCTCAGCAGGACCAGCCTTGTGCTGATGGGCAAGGGGAGAGGAGCCAGGCCTGGGCCCCCAGACTGGTCCATGGGGTGCAGTTGTCTGCATGGGGCCTGGCACAGGTGTCTTTGTCTGGCAGTGTCTTTGTTCTCCAGGGATGTTCGGAGTCTGGGCATCACCATGATGGGCCACCAGAAGAAGATCTTGAGCAGCATCCAGGCCATGAGATCCCAGCTGCTGAACACAAATGGCCCCAGGAGACATCTCTGATCACCAGCTCCGCAGACACACATTGGGCATTCCTTAACACTTACCCTGGCAAAGGGGCAGCAGGGTAGTGAGCGGGAAAGGGGGCACCAGACCAGGAGCTGGAACCCTGCCAGCATCTCTGATTTCAGCATGGGTGGAAACATGGCATTCCAGATACCTCGGTGGTCCTGCTGCCTCCTTCCCCCATCTGAAGGAGGGAGCAGCCTTCCAAGTGGGCTAGGGACATGTCATGCCTCTCTACTATGTCCCTGTGGGACTGGGGGTCTCCACACAACTGTTCAGGACGGGTGGAAACCCCTTCACACAGCAGGATGGTCCCAGCTACCCCCGCAGGTGGAGGGGTATCAGACACATCAGCAATACCAGGAGGAGTGGGACTGGGCTTGCCATGGCACACAGCTCCTTGGATCTCTGAACTGAGCAGGGCTTCACAGGCTGCCACACAGCCTCCCAGTACCTCCCAGTGTACTCCAGCCTGGACGTCCTGAACTGCACCAGCCTTCAGGTGACTTCACAGTCCATCTCTGCCAAGCACAGGAGGGCAGGGGACAGAGTACAAGGTGGCAGTGCCAGGAACAGCTGGCTCTGCCTTCAGAGGAGACTTCCCAGCGTGGAGGAGAGTTGTCCAGGGCCTGCTGCCTGGATCCTCAAGAATTTCCCAGGGTGCAGCAGGACACTCTCTCCCTCCTCAACCCACCAGGACAGCTTCTCCCTGGATCCAGCACAGCCAACCAGGGCAGCCCAGGCACATTTTCTAGGGCCACAAGCTCAGGTTTCTCCACCAGCAGAACCATCCTGGCCTCCTCTAGAACAGAGAGGAGTGGGAGACTGTACTCCCATCTTACACGATGGAGAGACAGAGAAACTTCTGCCAAACTCTTCTCTGGTTTTATATTACCCCAGAGAAACCCAAGAGCTGTGATGCCACAAGGCTGCCTGTGCCCAGGGCTGCCAGGTCACCTGCAGAGAGGGGTCCTCCCAGCATTTCCAGCTGCAGAGTCCTGTGCCTGGGGACACGGGCTCTGGGCACAGAGGATCTCCACCACTACCCATCTGGTGACCCCAGTGACTAGGAGGGTAGAGGGTCCTCCACATCCCTCCTCTTCCCCACAGGAGTATCTCTTTGGGCAAGCTTGCCTGATGCCTCTGAAGATATGTGGAGCTGGTCCAAGAGGCTGAGCTGGCTGCAGAGCTGCAGATGAACTGGGGAGAGGGGCAGGCTGTGGGCTGGGAAAGTTTTTTTTTTGGGGTGTAAATACAATTTTCTATGGGTTTGGGAACTGTTTTACTGAAATAGGAAGTTAAGTACACAAAAATGGTCTCAAAGCACAGAAGCCTCAGTTGTGGGGCTGAACTCACTGCAAAAAAAATCTGCTGGGGATGTGGCTGGGGAGTGGGGGCTGGAGAGGAGAAGGGCTGGAGGGGAACCACAATCACTGCCAGGATCCAGCCTGGCCCACAGCACCCTGTCCTTAGCACTGGCACAGCAAACCCAATGCAGGTAGTGGTAGGACTTGGCTGTTCCTCCCAGGGCTGTTTGGGCACAAGGGGGGTGGGGGGCGGGTTAAAGCCATTTCTCAGCTGCAATAATCCTGGCTAAACTGGCCTTTCCAGGGCTGGCTTGGCTTTCCACGCAGGGCTCTTATGTCCTGATGGATTCTCTGACTATGGCGGGCACTTTACTTCTTCCTATGGAAGCTTTTTGTAACGGGGGACAAGATGCAATGTGTTGTTTCATTTCTATTGCACCCTGCGTCCTGCACTCAGCCCTGTCCCAGGCCCTCCCCACAGCTGGACAGAGTGACAGCAGAGTGACAGAGGGTCAGCCCAAGCCCTGCAGCACAGGGTGGTGGGTGCTGGCCGTGTCCTCCCTTCCCAACATTTGGGACTCCCTGGAGGGTGAGTCCGTCATGGACACACTGGTGAGAGCAGAGGTCAGACCAGTGCCACAGACCTGTGTCCTTGGGGGTTTGCTGGGCAACCCTGGCCAGGTGGGCTGCAGGATCTGAGGCTGGGAGCTGCCAGATGGCCCCTTTCCGGGTGGTTCATGAGTCAGATCCTGCAGCATGGGGTCACTGGGCTGCTCTCGGCTGCAGGGATGGCAGGGCAGGGTTTGCCTTTTATGTTCAGTGTGCACTTCCTCCTGGACAATAAAAATCCTTCTTCCCACAATCCGTCTCCTTGCCTGTTATTGCCCTGGTCTGCCCAGAGCTACCACCACTTGCAGTGAGAATAGAGGACACCCTGGCTGCTTCAAGGGGGCCAGCACTGGGATGCTCAGCCAGCCACCACCTTCCTCACCCCAGAAAGCCTCCCACATGTGAAGGATGCTTCCCTGGGAAGCAGGAGTATCCGTGGGGTGGGCCCACAGGGACAGGTGAGGGACAAGAGGGTGGTTTGTAGGCTTGCTGGGGTGGGGAGAAGACTCTCCAAACCCACCAAGTCATTGCTATCTGGGAGCATCTCATGCAGGAGATGATGCAAACACAGGATATCTTGCATGCAAAGGCTCCTCTGAACCTTGGGGGGCTCTTGCAGGTTTTCCCAGACCCAGGTTTACCTTATTCTGGAAATGCAGAAATTTTTTAAAAAGAAGGAAAAAAAACCCCCAACCAAACCAGTAAAACCTCTGTCCTCATCCCCTAAAGTCTGAGGTGAAGTATGGTGTAGGTGGGCTTGCAAGATCCTTCCTGTGGGTGTTTGACTGTTCCAGCTGCCCTCCAGTGAATGAGCCTGGCGATCAGCATATGAATTGCAGGACATTTTCAGGAAAGGAGCATGTTTTTCTTGCCATATAAAGCCAAAAGAGCACCACAGCACAGGGTAGGTTAGAGTTAGGTTTGGTTCAAAATGTGTCACTGCCTGCTCAGGTGCTCACAGCCTTTGTAACCCTTTGAGGATGGAGGTGACCATTCCAAGGCCCAGCTCTGCTTCCCACCCTGGCTACGGGGAAAGACCAGCCTGGCTGCCCATGGCACTGTGCAGCTGGGTCCTCCCAGGCCCTTCCTTCACTGTCTCTCTATCAGGTTATCCTGCCAGCCCATCCAGAGCTTCCTTCCTCCCAGTCTCCCATTCCACCCTTCTCTCTGGTGCCCCTTTCCAGAAGCATTAGCCTCCAGGCTGGACAAGCTGCTCCTGGGCAGTCTCCCCTGTGCTGAGGGTTGAACTTACAAGCCCTGTGCTCTGCATTCCCCCTCACCTACCCCATTTCACTACTTACATTTCCCATCCCATCCCTTCTCCTTTCCCCCTGTGGCTGCCCCATCCCTGGAAGTGTCCAAGGCCAGGTTGGATGGGGTTTGGAGCAACCTGGACTAGTGGAAGGTGTCCCTGCCCATGGCAGGGGGGTTGGAATGAGCTGAGCTTTAAGGTCCCTTCCAATCCAAGCCGTTCTGTGACAAATATGGTTGGAAGGAATCTCTGAAGGTCACCTCGTCCCAGCCCTCCTCACGCCTGTGCAGGTTCTGCTCAGACTCCTACCACGTCCTGCAGACAGGGACAGCAACCACATCACACCTTGCTCATGGTCCAGCAGGCACTGGGCACAGTGGGGCAGACTGGAAGTGCTGAGGCCTGTCACACTTCACCCAGGGCACGTGTTTCACTAACTTGTTTCAGTTATTGATAAAGGCATTATCCACATTGTGCAGAATGCACCAGGTTTTCTTACATTTCTCATACCCAAACATTTGATCTGTGGAAGGATCAGTGCTGGTGCCTGGCTCCTCCCAGCAGGTTTGGGCAGGGGCAGTGGCACTCAGCCGTGCTGGTGTGTGGGTAGGGGCCCACAGCAACCACAGACCATGAGGACCATGCCCAGGGCATCACCTTGCTCACAGCCCCCAGGAAGACGAGGCAATGGTGTGTCATTTTTAAAGATATTGCCATGAAATCACAGTCCTGGCAAAGGCCCATCACTGGGGACACTTCTCCAGCACACAGGGCCGTGTTTTCAGAGCTCCTGCACTGCTCTGTTCCCAAAGCTGAGCCGAACTGTACACGGGGGTGTCCCATCTGGCCAGGCTGGGGACAGGGACCCCGATGGCTGAGGGAGGAACCAGTTCAGCAGAGGAACTTAGGGAACCTGTCTGGGGGAAGGGGCCAGTCAAAAGGCAAACTCTTCCATCCCAGGAGAGATGATGAACACCCTGGCTCATATACACCAGCAAACAAACCCTTCCTGTGTCAAAAGAGCCCTCAGGATTTTCTCTCCTCCTTCCAAGAGACTTTTATTCCAGCTTGCACCACCGGGAGCTGGTCCTTCCCTAGTAAAACAGCTTTTCCTTTCTACTCACACCCAGCACTACCCCGAGCTTCCAATAACTCATCTCTGAAGCGTTTTCTTTCCAGCTGCCCGGGCCCGGCTTGGCTGTGCCATCAGCAGGCGAGGCTCTGCGAGCTCTGTGTGCCTGGAGGTGGCAGTCTGGACCTGCAGAGCACCTGCAGAGCCCTGCACGGAGCTGCCCGCCCCAGCCCCGGTGCCAGCCAGGTTTGCAGGGTCAGATGTGCTCCGTGGCCGGCGGGAACAGATGGTGAACTCGCCTTCGGATTCACTGATATGATTCCTGTCTGATCACATACCAGCTCAGTCTGCCAAGGAAGGCTGTATTCCCAAAACACCTTCTCTCTCTGCTTTTAGCACAGTCGTTTAGCACCATGTCCAAGTAAATTACTCAGGATAATCCGATGTAAGATAGAAATATCAGCCCCAGCTGCTGCTTTAACCCTTGGAAGGATTACGGGTTAAGTTCTGTGTGGGTTTTGAAGTACCCCGTAGGTCACACCTTGGAAACCACGATCAAGGAGTGAGATAGCAGCACAGCTCATCCCAGGATGACAGGATTTCCTGCTCTGCCATCAGGACAGTGTCTCCCCACCTCAAGCAAGCCAGGCTCGGGGAGGGATGAGCCAGGACTGCAGCAACCCTGACTTCTGCTGCAGGGCTGGGAATATGGGGCAGGATTCAGAGCAGAAAGGCAGGTCTCAGATTAGAAGGGATCCCTTGTTGCAGCCACCTGCTGTGACAGTAGAAGGAGGAAAGGAATGGCATTTCATCTCCTGCCTGTGAAGGTGCCTTCCTCTCTCCTTTGGGCGTAAAAGGGAACCTGGACTAAGCAGCTTGGTTTAACCTCCAGTTATATGATGTGCATCCAGGGCAGTCCCATCAGTCCATGGGATGCAGCCTAAAGCATCTCACTCAGAGGGGAATGCCAGGGGACCCCCCGACAGCCCAGCCCCTCAGGGACCTGTGTCCCAGCCCACGGAGCCCGGGATGTGAGGTTTTGCAGAATGGGAGCAGGATCCTCATGCCTCAGCAGTTTGTGGGGCCCTTGTCCAGCAACCCAGGCACAGTTACACCTGCTTTTCTGAGAGGGCTGTCAAAAATCCCCAATATCCAGTCAAACAACAGAACCTCTCAAATTTCCTGGGCGAAAACTCCTGACAGTTGTGTTTTGGAAAATCCCAGTGCGCAGTTACTGCACCTCCTGCTCATGCTGATCCTTCTGGAAGGGAATTGTAGGCAATCTGCAAGTGCCAGAAAGAATTCCGAGTGCAAAGCTGGGAACATTCCCCTAAACCTGTCCTGCTTATCCCTGGAAGTAAAAAAAAACAAGCAAGAAATGATTTACTGAGATGAAAAGACCAAGGGGTTGCACACCACATGGGGAACTTGTGAAAAGGGTAAAAGCTTTGGAATTTGTTGATCTCAAACCCCAGCTATGACATGTTATTTTCATTTTGCTGATCCTGAGAGAAGGTGAAATCATTCCCAGCGCTCATTGGTGTCTACCTGACCCCAGAGTCACTTATCCTTAAAGATTTGTTATTACTCATCCTGTGTCTCATTTCCTCCCCACATTCTGAAGATGTCCTGAAAAGTGACCCTTGCAGGGAGCAGGAATTGGGACAGAGGGAGCAGAGGGGTGGCATTGAGCAGGTAACAGCAGGCAACATGCTCTTCCCAAGCACAGAACTGTGCAAATGATGGGTGATCAAGGATTCAAGGGAATGGAGTGAAGCTCGCCAGGGGAGGTTTAGGTTGGATATCCGGAAAGTTCCTTCCCCCAGAGGGTGGTTGGGCACTGAACAGGCTCCCCAGGGCAGTGGGCACAGCCCCAAGGGTCACAGAGCTCAAGGAGCATTTGGACAATGCTCTTGAAGACATGGTGGGACTGTTGGGGCTGTGCAGGTCCAGGGGTTGGACTCGATAATCCCTGTGAGTCCCTCCCTACTCAGGATACTCCAGCATTTTATGACTCCCTGATTCTAGGGAGGAGAGGCAGTGGGGAGCAATGGTCTTCATGCCTGGAGAGGAGCTGAGGGAATGTGGAAAGACAGAAACAATTTGGGTGGATGTGCTTTGGTGACTGATGGGACCTGAGGCTGGAGATGCAACAGCATGTCCCAAAGTCACCAGGTGAGCTCACATCTCAGTGCAGAGGGGAGGAGATGGAGATACAGAGGACAGAGAGGCAGGAGGAGATGGAGGTGCAGGAGATGACAGAGGCAGGAGCAGCAGGATTACTCTCCCTGCCCAGCAGGACCGACTGCACCCTGCATGGACACACAGCAGGGAGGGATGAAGCCCCATTTAACGCCTGGCTCCTCTAAACCTGTTATCAAAAGATGAGGTTCCTCATTACAATTCCTTTATTTCTCTCACATTCGGAGCTGCCAGTGAAGGGTCAGCAGCACTTATGAAATTTTCAATTCTCGCAGGTTTTGAATTTACATGTTTTTTTCTATATCTGAGCTGAAAGAAGATTATGAATAAAAGATTAAAATTGGATGTCTCCAATCATTTAAGAGAAATGCAATGAGCATTTATTCCAGGAACAAGCAGGAGCCAAACACCACTGCATGCAGACCAAAAATTAGCAGCAAACTCCAAACAGGGTCCGAACAAAAGGTTGTGCTCTTTGATGTGACACTTCTGGGGTGTGGGAAGGGGGACCTGGAAATCTTGGGGCTCTGCAGGGTCTCAGGAGCAAAGGCTCCTTGACTTTAGATGCTTTAGAGGAGAGATGACTGCTGGATCCATCGATACAGTTCCACCACTGAGAGGTGTGAACATCACACAGGAGCACCTTGAAGAGCAATAGAGCTCTTCAGGAGGGGTGGAGGGATGGGTGGTGAGAAAGGCAAAGTTGCTAGGACAGGT